TGTGGGAGGACCACCCCGTACAAGTATCTGTATGCAGCTAGGTGTGGAACAGCAGCTTCTCCTTATCGCAGGCTCGGTCCTATAAAGCAGAAGCAGAACTCAGCATGAGCCCAGCATGGCTTTCCCCTTCCCCCCCTTCCCTGCCAACTGCTCTGGTGGGGGGTGACACATCCTTGGGGCTGGGGACAGTGTGGGTGGTTCCTTGGACCACCCTGTAGGCAGGGTGTGGAGACAAGGCTCATGGGGACCCTCAAGATGTGCAGAGACCCTCTGGACCTGCACCATGGACCACGCCATCCTGCTGGGCTCCTGCCTCTGGCTCTTAGAGGAAGCTGTTTGGCTAAATATAAGCACTGTCACTCGTGGGAAGGTCACTGAGGTCTGTGTGAGTGGCTGGATGGGCAGAGCAAGGGGTGCTGGTAGCACTGGTGGCAACCAGTGTGTCATCGTTGCCATCCCACTGTGCTGGAGGCATTACCACTGGCGAAGCACACTCGTGTGGGGCCAGACCCTGGCTCACCACAGCATCTCTACAGACCCCTCATAACCTGCTGTCTCCAGCGGTGCTCCTCCCTGTGTGCCGTGAAGGCGGAGATGGGCTGCTGGGGTGGGAAATGTTGTCCAAGGGCAGAAGGGACACCCTGGGACATCCCCAGAGTAGCAAGTCATAGTCCCGTCTGGTGGCTTGGCGTGACCAAGAGCAGGGCCCAGCCCACACAACCCACATCCTGATGGCTGCTGATGGGACAATTTGGTGGAGAAAACCTTCTCCCCAGCTCCCTTCTCCCTTGACAGTCACCTAAGTGCCAGGATTGGGGCTCAGTTCCCTTGGCTGGGGGAAACCCCTGCCCAAGGACCTCTGCTGATCCCCAGCACCTGGTTCCCAATGGGGGCTGGCCCTTCCCAGAGCCCAGCTGGGAGGACAGCCTGAGCTGGGGCATCCCCCAGCTGTGGGCCCACCCTGGAGCTGGAGAGCTGGTGTGGGGCCATGTCGGAGGGGAGCAGGGCACAGCAGAGCACTGGGGCAGGGCACTGACAGCCATGATGTGCGTGCTGCGGCTGGGTTCTTTCCACTTTCTACAGCACAGGCTTCAAAGCCTCCACTTGATCTCTTTGGCATCTGCCAACCTGCTGATGCAATCTATATTTAGCCGCTGGCTCCTTGGGCTGAGACAGAGCCCTGTCATCTCTACAGGTTCATACAGCAGGAAGGTCTTGCCTGCTCCCTGGAAGAGGCAGATGGGAAAGATCAGAAACACCCCTTGGGCTGGGGGATTGGGCTTCATGAAGATGCTGGCAAGGGCTGGAAGAAGCAAAGATCAAAGTGAAGGTTGGATCCTCCCAGCACATTGGCCTGTGTGGTCCTTCCTTTCTCCAGGCAGCACCCATGATGATGCTGTCCTTCAAGGTCCATGTGTCCAGGTGGTCATCCATCCATCCAACCATTCTTCCCTCCATCCCTCCATTTATTTTTCCCTCCCTCCCTCCTTCCCCCCATTCTTCACTCCCTCCCTCTCTCCCTCCATCCATCCATCCCAAGCCATCATCCTTTGCTGCACCCTGGAGCAGCCTTTGCTCTACCTTCAGCCCTACCACCTCTGGATCATGCTAGGGGATATGTATGGTGATGGTGGGAGCATCTCTTGGGAGCAGGACAGGGTGAGGGACACTCAGGGCTCATACCTGGGCAAATGCCATGTTGGACAGCTGGAAATGTGGGGTTGGGGCTGAGCCCAGGGGGTTTGCTGGGGCACAGCAGAGGGTTGAGCCCCTAGGAGGGCTTGGTGGAGGCTTTTGAACTTGGAAACCTGCTGGATCTCTCCAGGCAAAAGCCCTGCTGAAGGCCAGACCATGAGAGAAGATGCACTGCTGGGGGGGCTACCTGCTTATCTGCTGGGTTCTAAGTCCTGTTGTGGTATGGGTGAGTGGGGGCAAGAGTTGTCCAAGACCTACCCATGAGCTCAGGAGATGCAAAGCATGAGAGCCCAGGGACGGGGTCACATCCTCCCACAGCTGGGGCACGTTTGATGCTGGGGTCACCATCATGGGCTGTAGCAGTGTGTGTGGGCAGGATGAGGGGCTCATCCATCGGGGTCCTGGCTGACATTGCTGTCTCCGGGCTAATCTCCCCTCCAGCAGCAGCTTCCCGTTTCCTTTCCAATCTGTGCGCCCCGGGCGGCTCCTCTCCGCTCGGGGCCAGGCAGGAAAAGCCATCCAGCTGGGCTCTCATGTGGGGCCACAGCCCCCATGTGTCTGTCCCTCACCCCAGCGGCCTATGGGTCATCTACTCCCCCAGTGCCCCAGTGAGGACATCCGGGGGGCTTGGGTCCCCCCGCACCCTGCCTGCCCCCTCCATCACTTGGGTGCTGGGGGGACACTGGCACATGGCTCCTTTCCTGTTTGTGCCACAGGAAACCCAGCAGTGACACATCCTTCAGCAAGAAAGCACCACACTGGGGCTCCTGGCACCCCACGGGGTCGGGGTCAGCCCCCCTCCCCAGCTCCACATTTCACCCTGCTCCCTGGCCAGGGTGATGCTGGGGACCAGGAGCTCAGCCATAGCCCAGTGCTGGATGTGGACCAGTATCCCTGCCACCCCAGCAGCCCTTCTCCTCCCCACACATTCAGTGCCATCACTGTCCTGGCCATTTTGAGCAGCATCCTGGGCTGAGATGTCACCCACCCTCGCACCCAGGGTGCTGGCTGGGGAGCGGGGACTCCCTGCTGGCCTCTCAGTGCTTGGCCAGCAGCTCCTCACACCTACGTAGGGCCAGCTAAAAATAGCCCCGCAGCAGAGCCGCAGCCCGGCTGCTGCAGAGAAACATCCGGGGAACGAGAAGAGACACGGCGGCTTCCCGCAGCACTGGGGCCGTCCGGGGTACCCTTCACCCCAGCAGTGGGGTGGGGGCTCTGCCCCCCTCCAGGGCAGCACCCAGGGGTGTTTCACCCCCTTGCTCTCGATGTGGTTCCCTGCCCAGATCTTCCACGATTATTGTAAAGTGGTTTTGGGGCAATTTGGGGTCGGGATGTGTCTTCTCACAGGTAAAATCCTCCTTGCTGTGGGTGTCCTCCATCTGCTGATGGGGTGGGATAAGCACAGGGCAGGGCGGGACCCTGCACATCTCCTGCCCTTGGGTTCTCCACATTTTCCTTGCAGAAGCAGCTTCTCAGCCCTGCTCTCCTTGTGCAGCCAACCCAGCTGCAAGCTGTGAGAGCTGGCTGGCCCCATGGCCAGGACCTCCTGTCTCCTCCCCAGCACTCTCTGCAGCGAGACACACACGTGTGATATCCCCATGGAGCATTGCAGGGGACAGATGTGACCTAATGGCTCAGATAAATGAGGACAGTGAGCATCCGTGCCTGGGATGCTGGAGTGGGCATCTGGATGAACTGGGGAGGAGAAGCACAAGGTGTGGGAGAAGCAAGCACAGGGCAGCAGCACTCACAGCTTGGGGTGGGACAATGGGGGGTCGGGGTGACCAGGGACTGTGGAGCTGGGGTGGGTCAGAGGGTCCCCAAAAGCCACATGGGTGGCTCTGGGCAGGCTGCAAGCCCTGGTTGTGAGAGTGGCTGTCACACCCTGGCCGTGTCCCCTAGTCTTGCTGGGATAGGTCTGGAGCCGAGCACCCCAGCACCACCAGCCCTGTTTGCACTGACCTTGCACAGACCAGGCTTACACCCACCCGGGGCAGGAGCCCAGCAGCGCAGGCATCTGTGGAGTGTGGGGGCGAATGGGGAGATGGAAAATCCGGCGTTTGCTGGCGTGTTCCCCCCATGGTGTCTGTCTAGACTAACTTCCTCTTGTCCTCTGGAAGCTGCCCCGTGCCCACGCACGCTCACCCGCATGCGTGAGTGTGCAGAGCCCAGTATCTGCCTCTCCTGTCCCACTGCCAGCCATATCCCTCCCTGCTGAGGGACACCCCTGGGTGCTGGGACTACACAGTTGGACTGTTCCTCCCATCTGACCCAAGATCTGGCACCCGGACAGTCTCAGGGTGGGCTTGGTGCCAGCATCCTCACTGACCTGTGTCAGCCCAAAGCTTTCTTGCACACACACCAACCCCTTTATTGTTGTGCTAGAAACCACAGCAGCGGCAAACACCGAGGGAGAGGGGAAAGGGACTGGCCAAGACCCCACTGCCAGGACAAGCCCCACCAAACAGCACCTGGGGAAGGGGTCCCCAGAGCCAGGGGGGCTACAGCAGTCCTGCCAAGGTGAGTCTGATGCCCAGGAGAGGACCTGGAAGAGCTCCCTGAGATTGAGGGGGTCACACAAAGTCTGGGGGGGCTTGGTGGGCTGGAGCGGGTCTAGCCTGATTGTGGGGCTGGCAGAGCTGGACCTCAGGCCAGTGAGGGTCTGTGCTGTTGCAAAGCTTGGGCAGAACCCCCATAGACCGCGCCCCCCCGGCCCCCCCAGGCTTCTGTCCCTAGAAAATCTTATAGCAGCAAAGGGATATCATAGAATCACAGACTGGTTTGGATGGGGAGGGACCTTAAAGCTCATCCAGTTCCAACCCCCCTGCCATCAGCAGGGACACCTTCCACCAGACCAGGTTGCTCAAAGCCTCATCCAACCTGGCCTTCAACACTTCCAGGGAGGAGCAGCCACAGTTTCTCTGGGCAACCTGGGCCAGTGTCTCACCACTGGTGTCAGGAAAGCTCCTACCCACCCCATGAAGGGTTCCCCACCTCTTGCCCTGCCCAGCCTCTCCTCAGGGCACCACCTCTCACTGCCAGCTCTACCTTCTGCATGGAGACATCTCCATGGACCACCATGGGTGCAGGGGGGACCAGGGTGCCCATACTTCCTCTTTCCAGCACCTGTGCTACAGGTTCCCATGGGACAGTACTCTGCTGCCCGGGTAGGGGGGTCTATGATGAAGGAGTTGGAATGCAGATGTGACTATTGGGGAGCAGGGGGCCACATTCCCACTTGTGCCCCCTGGCCACCAAGCTCTGGTCAGAAGGAGGTCCCCTTGCAAGAGGGCTGCAGGCAGGGCTCAGGCCTCGTGGTCACTGGTGCTCAGGTGGTCCTCAGGCAGCCCCGTCTCGTCGATGTTCTCCAGCGAGTCGGCGTGCTGCACCGAGAGCTCGGCCAGGCTGACGCTGGGCAGCGTGTTCTGCTCCGGGTATACCCAGGGCTTGTACCCAGGGTCGTGCTTGCGTTTCCACTCTGGGTACTTCAGCCCAGCCTTGTAGATCTTCTTCATCGCCTGCGGGCAGAGTGGGTCCAGCATGTCACCATGGCCTGAGTCCCCAGTGGGGGTGGAGCCACCTCACAGCTCCCAGCTCCCCGAGTGATTGCTTTTTGGGGGTGCTGGGAGGGAATGGAGGTCTGGCTTGAACCACACAGCCCCAGCAGCAAGTCCAGTGCACACCCTGTGAGCCCTGAGTCATCCAGCACCCATTCTACCCCTACCTAGGGTGCTGCTTTGGGGCAGCTCACCCCTGATGCCTGCACATCCCACCACTGACCACGCACCCTGCTTACCTTTGGTGCCACAAACTGGGAGACGCGGTTCACCACCCACTTTGGCAGCGACCCTGCAAGAGTCCAAAGCCCCGTCACTCAGCCAGCCTGGGCAGGCACCACGAGCCTGTATGCCCTGTGCCACACTGCACCCACCCAGGGCTGATGGCACCTGCCCCAGGCTGTGCCCTGGGAGGGGACCCCACTGGGAGGGGACCCCCTTCTTCCCTGGGTTGTCCTCACTTCCCAGTGCCCTTTGGACCTCCAGGTGACGGACAGCTACGGTGGGTGAGCTCTAGGGGTACAACAGGACCCATCCCCAAGGAGGCACTCTGTATCCTCCTCTCCTCCTGGAACTCACCGCGGGGGTCCACCTGGGTGAGATAATAGAGGACGCAGGCGCTGGCACCATTTGCCTTGATCAGGTAACCTGTCTGCAGGGACACGGCCCTCACAAAATCCTTCCGGGGTGGGTATTTCTGCAGAGAGATGCCATGAACCTCAGATCCTGCCCAGCCCTGCCTGTGCCTGTTGGCCTATGGGGCTGGGGCAGGCCGGGGGCTCACCGGGTGCTTGACGCTGTAGTTGATGATCATGTAGTCATTGCCGAGGGGCAGCCAGGAGCGCAGGGTGACGAAATCCCGGTTCTTCAGGGGGCTTGGGCATTTCCCTGTGGACAGACCCTGTCATACCCCAACCCATTGCCCCCGTGGCCCCACACCCTCACATGGGGCTGCGGAGTTGGGGAGGGGAGCCCTGGGGGTCCCCAGGGACTGGGGGCTGCTCACAGGAGTAGTATCCCACGTCAGCGTTAACGGTCAGGCGCCCAATGTCGTAGGTCTCGATCATGTTTGAGTCCCATTTCTTGCGGTAGCGGGTGTCGTGCAGCACGTCGTAGAGCGTCTCGGCAGGAACATCCTTGCAGGAGATGCGAGTCTGTGGGGAGAGGGGCAGGTGGGCAGCAGGGCAGTACCCACCCCCAGAGCACGGAGCTGCGCCCATCTGGGGACGAGGACTTTAGGCTGTTCCTGTCTGTGGTGTCATGCCCCTGTGCTGCTATAAAGCCATGTAAACATGTGCCATGGAGGACACATGGTGCAGGGCACACCCCTGCTTCAGGACAGCCCAGGCAGAGCCACCGACCCCCCTGCCAGCATGCAGCACAGTGCAAAGGCCAGAGGGCAGCGGGTGCAGAAGGATCCTCTGCCTGCCCTCAAACAGAGCTGCCTGGTGGTCCAGGTTCTGGTGCCTGCGTACCCCAAGCACAGCCCTGTCCCCTCACCCCATGTTTCTTCAGGGTGAGAAAAGGGATGCTCCTGCTCCGGCACAGAATAGAATCATAGTGGTTTGAAAAGACCTTTAAGATCACGGAGTCCAACCATAAGCCCAACACTGCCAATTCCACCTCTGAACCATGTCCCCCCGACCCCCCCATCGACCCATCTGTTAAATACCCCCAGGAAAGGTGACTCCACCACCTCCGTGGGCAGCCTGTTCCAGTGCTTGACTACCCTTTGGGTGAAGAGTTTTTCTTCATGTCCAATCTGAATGTTCCCTTGGCTCAACTTGAAGCTGTTTCCTCTTGTCCTGTCA